GCCTTTTAAAAAGCGTGTGACAATAGTAACAATAGTAAGCGCCACCCTGTGCACAGTACATCCAAGAGAAAGAGCCTCCGTATGCAGGTGAGAGGGAAGCCTGGTGGAAGCTGGTGTGTGTAACCTAGCCTAGGGATATGGAGCACCAACCATGTGCTAAGCTGTTGCTACAAGGCCGAGGAAGACACGAAGGTGTGCAAACCATTTACTCTAGCGGCCTTGCGTCTGTTCTGGGCTTTCTTAGAGCAGGAGTCTTTGGGGCTGACCCAGGCCGGGCCTGGTGGCCATGTTCTCCGTTGCAGAAGCCAAGCAGCCGGTCAATGTCTGCAGACCCAGCCCGTGCATGAACGAGGGCACCTGTGTCCTGCAGAACGGGAGCTACCGCTGCGTGTGCCGCGATGGCTGGGAGGGCCCCCACTGTGGGAACCGTAAGTGGGACCCTCGCTCTGCATGTATGAGCTGGGTGGGGTAGTCTCAGTCCTGCTAAGTCCCAGGTACTCGGCATTTGTTCAGGGGAGGGAATCATTTATTCATTCACTCATGAAACATTTGAGCGCCTCCTATATCCCAGGCATCGTTCTAGGCGCTGGGATCTAGCAATAAATGAAACAGTGAAAAGCTCTGCCCTTATGAAGCTTACATTCTAGTAGGGGAGACGGACAATGAACAAGGTAAGTGCGACATGTAGATTAGATGGTGCTAGGTGCTCTAAGAAAAGCCCAGCGACAAGCAGGAGCAGGTGCGTGTGGGGTGGGAGTTAGTTTTAGATAGGGTGGCCAAGAAAGGATATGTGGAGGTGAATGGGTGGTGAAGCTGAACTTGACTGAGGGCCTGAAGGTATTCAGAGAATGAACCATAAAGGTTATCTGGAGGCAGAACACTGCAAACAGAGGGAAAAGCACGTGCCAGGGCCCTGAGCAGGAGCGAGCTGCGGGGAGCAGGAGATGCAGGGAGAAGGGTGACACGCCAGCAGGCAGGGCCTTCAGATGGAGGAGGACTACGCGTTTGCACAGAACCCAACGGGAGCCGCTGGAGAGCTGTCGTAGAGGAGTGGCGTGAACGGCTTTACCATTCACGGGGTCACGGTGTTGGGAATAGAGTCCAGGAGGGCAAGGGCAAGGTGACAGTTGCAGCCATCCAGGTGAGAGGTGATAGCAGCTGGGGTCAGGTTGGTGAAAGGGGGTTGGAGCAGCTTTTGTTTTTAAGGGAAAGCTGATAATTTGCTGGCAGGACAAATGTGGAGTGTGAAAAGGAGAGGCATCAGCATGGCTCAAAGGATTTTGGTCTGAGCACCTGGCAAAATGAAGTCACTGTTCACTGAGATGGGGAAGCCTGCAGGGTAGATGTGGGGGGCGGAGACTGGGGCTCAGCTTCGGAGGTGAGGCACCCATTGGATGTCCAAGTGGAGATGGCAGGTAATTGCATGCACAAATCCAGAGTTCAGGGAGAGGTCTCGTTGAGGGTTCTAGAATAGCAGCCAGATGGTGATTCCAGCTGGAGCCCTGGGCAAAGGCTGGCCTCCTAAGGCCAGAGTGTGGATCTAAATGGCAGTCACATAGGGTCTGTGATCAGGGGGGCTGGGTTGTGGGGTAAGAGCAGGACCCAAAAAAAAAGCCAGTTGCCATCAAGTTTTGATTCTGACTCATGGCAGCTCTGTGTGTACAGAATAGAACTGTGCTCCACAGGGTTTTCAAGGCTGTGATCACTAGGTCTTTATTCCGAGGCACCTCTGAGTGGATTCAAACCGCCAACCTTTTGATTAGTAGTCAAGCGCTCAACTGTTTGTGCCACCCAAGGACTCCAAGAGCAGGCACAGACTGTTGATTGGTTGAGGAAAAGGCTCAGGCACTCGTGTCCTCAAAGTTCACTTCCTTCCCAGGGCTCCTAAGAGGAGATGCCCCCAAGATGCGTGGCTCCCGCAAGGAACCTGAAGGAAGGCAGCAGCTGCACCCCTCCCAGCAATCGGCACACTGAGCACTGAAAAGACTCTGACCCTCGGTGGAGCATTCTGTCTTGTGGGGGTTGTCTGTTCTCTCCAGCTCTGTCCAGAGCCCTCTGCCCACTGCTCCTCACCCAGGGAGAGGAGACATCCCATCAGCGGACATTGCTGCTTAGGGACAGTGGCATCAGCCGATCTCACCACCAATGACGACGTCGAAACTCTTTATACGTTAAGTAAATATTTTCTGTACCTACTTTGCGCTTCACCACGCTTATGTCATCTGCCACCTTTCCTCTGAGGAGAAACTAAACCTGGAGGTGCCAGAGAAATTTGATGGCCTGTCTGAGGCTCCCTCTGTTTACAAATAGAATGCCTAACAGAAGGCATTTATTGTGTGTAATGTGGGCCACTGAAGCAATGGCATTTTAAGACAGAAATCAGAGGCTTTTTTTAAAAACTGGATATATTTTCTTTTAGTTGAAAAGGGGGCTTTAATGGCATTTGTGACATACTGCTGACTTAATCTGTGTGTGGAAAAGACTTGGTGAGGTCTCAGACTGGATGTTGACCAGTTAACCAGTGCTTGCTTGACTACATGGAGAAGGGCTGGAGGTACAAATGGCCTGGGGCAGGAGAGGCAGGTACAATTAGTCAGGAATCCAGTATTCTCTTGAAGGATCTTCTTTTAGGTTTACTTAGGAATGGTTAATTGCAGGGTATTTGCTGAATGCTTTCCTTTACTCTCCTGTTACTGGGGCAAGGAGGAGTAGAATTCTTAAGCTCAACAAAAATGGGACAAAGAAACCTATAGGGGTTTTGCTTTTTGAAGCGTAGATCTTATGCTGTCCAGGTTTTTGTTTTCTTCTGTCTAGTTTTAAAAGAAACATTTTAAGACATGCTATTGGTTATTTAACAGGAAGATATGTACTTATATGGCAAAGAAGCTTATTATTTGGAATATTTTCTGGCAAACAAAGTACCTGGTCACCTCTGCAGGATTTCGGAATGAATTCTTCCCCCGGCTGTGGTGTTTAGAGTTGGTTTTTAGTAGAAGGCTTTGTAGAGCTGACATAAAGCCAGAGGCTTTATCATAATTTTTATTAACGCAATATTTTATGCAAAAGTTCAAGGTTACCACGTAGCTTTAAGAACCTTCAGGATCCCTGCTGCCAGAAAAGTGCTTGAAGAGGTACCACCATGTACTTGTTGGGGGTGGGGGGAAGGTCTGGAGTACCAAGTGCTGAGTCATGATAAACACTTGTGTTCAAGGGATATTTTGATTTCTGTTATTACACTGTCTTTCTGCAGAAGATAACGGCAGGGCCCGAATGATGTCGCCACCTAGCATATGCTGATCAGTGGTGTAGAAATTACATGAATTCACTGTCTTTGAATAAAGGACCTTTAGTCATTTCATAGTGTCGGTGCTTTGTGCTATTCTGTAATGTGCTGATAGTTTGATGCTCCATTGGAATTGCTCAGACTTAATCTGTGGGTCCTTGGGCTTATGTCTTAAAGGTCTTCACCTTTTTCCTTTAATTATACCAGTAATAAATACATTCTCCTTGTAAAGAGAGAACATATAGAAATAAGGTCAGTTTTCTCTTCTTTTTGAAGTTGTAGACTACTTACGTCATTTCCTTGTCATTTTGGATTGTTTGGGACCTCCAGAATGATGTTCTTAAAAGGAGTGGTGATAGCAGGTATCCATGTCTGCTTCTTGACTCTAAGGGAACTTTGTCACCATTATATGTTGTTTTCTGTAGATTATTGGGTTAAGAATGTTTACTTCTCTTCCTAGATTATCGTTTATGAGTGTTGAGATCTTTCATGCCTTTTCTGCTTCCACAGGTGATGATTTTTCACATTTAATCTGTTAATGTGATAAATTACCATTAATATATTTTGAAGTTGTTGAACCACGTTGGGTAAACTCTATTTGGTCATGAGGCATTATTTTTTAGATATACTACTGATGAGCTTCATTTACCAGTATTTTAAGATTTTTTTCATCTATGTCCAAAAATGACATTTGGCTTTTGTTTTGCAACGTTTGTTGCATCTGGGGCATCAGAGCGATGATAGCTTTATAAAATGGAAGCTACATAATTCCTCAGACTTTCAAACTGCTGTAGTTGTATTTTCTTGTAATTTAAAAAAAAAATCTTACATCTGTACTCCTCTTCCTTGTGATACTCAAGTCTTCCTTTTATTTAATATTGCCTTAAGTAAGTTGTCTTTTTATTGCATTTGTCTTTTTCAGTGAGCCAATTTTTTGGTTTTGTCTTTTTTTTTTTAAATAAATGCATTCATGCTGTGAAATTCTTAATTACTACAGAGGCAACCTCCAAACTATTTTGATGATTTTCTTTTCCCCAAGAATTATTTAGGAGTGTGTTTAACTCCCATGAGTACTGATTTTCAATAGTCTAGTAGTATATGATCAGTTTCTGCAGTTTTCAGTGTACTTGGTACATTAATTATCCTACCAAAATCCTCTTTTAACCTTACCATGGTGGCTCATTGGTTAAGCACTTGGCTACCAACAGGAAGGTCGGTGGTTCGAACCCACCAGCCACTCTGTGGGAAAAAGATGTGGCAGTCTGCTTCTGTAAAGATTACAGCCTTGGGAAACCCTACAGGGCAGTTCTAAGTAAGTTCTATTCTGTCCTATAGGGTCACTATGAGTCAGAGTTGACTCGATGGCAATGAGGTTGGCTTATGCTACTCACCCATGACTTAAGGCGGTTTACAGTCTCCTTCGAGGATTCCACATTGTAGTTTTGCAACAATTTGTTGTATTTGTTTTGAAGTTCAGTGTGTAAATGGCCCAGTCATTACATGAAATACAAATATAAGGAAAACTCACAATTAAAATTTTATTTGTAAAAATCTAACTCACCACTTGGTAAAGGGTCACCAAGTGTTTATGACAAAAGAAGTAAATGCCCTGGGATTAGAAAGACTCAGAAGACCTTTAGTTCTCAGAGAACTCTGATTCGGAACTCCCAGAAATGGGGCAGAGATGATACATGAAATGTTTCAACCTTTCAACCTGTGTTAAAAAAAAAAAAAAAAAAAAAAAATGCCATCTAAGGAAAAGATAGGGAGGGGCAGCCCAAAGAACAGCATTACCAACTTTAAGAGAAAAATGGAGATCATCTAAACCAAAATTCACTACTTTTTTCTTGGAAGGGGCCTGGATAGTGATACAACTTGAAAAACAGGGACTAGGAGAGCATTATATTAAATAACTCTCCCCTTAAAAACAACCTGGCCACAGGACTGAATCTGTAAACAAAGGATAGTTTTTTCTATGGTAATATAAAAAGTCAGTTAAATCTCAAAAGACATTCTAAGTTACAGAATTTTAAACATTTTTCTATATATACACTTGAAATTTTATCTAAAAGTAGTTGATTCAGGCCTGCCCTGGGACAAAAACAATGTCCTTGACCTATGACCTAGTGGGGACAGTGCCTCAGCAGAGTCCCAAATATTTTCCCGTTATAGTTTCTCAAAAAGCATGTTGTAGACTGCCGCTGTTGGGCCTGCAAATATCAGAACCAAACGGAAAGCAAGGGCAGGTGAACCCTCAGCCCTGCTAAAGTATTGGCTAAGAGATGATGGGCAGGCGTTTAGGTCTTCTCAGTCAGCAAAGCCACATACCAGTGGACAAGGACCTGCTACCTTGATTTCTCCTCCTTCAAAGTCTCAACATCAGAAGCTTTTTTCACTACTTGATAAAGTACTTGATGAAAATTTCAAAGAAAAAAACAGAACATTCCTAAACACAACATTCTTGTGTCCATCCAATAGATTTAAGTCTCCAAAGAAGCTTTTTTCTTGTTATATTCTTGTTGTATTATTTCCCTTGGCTCTGGGAAAATAATCGAGCCTCCTCTTAGCCAAAGCTCTCCATTCATGGTACCCCAGTCCTTGCTTTTTCTTCTAATCAGACGCACCCTTTCACAGAGTTGCTGCTTTAACGTAGACTTTAACGAAGCAGGATTGTCACCAAGGTCCATATTGATATGATAGTCCTTGGATGAAGCTTATTTCCTAACTTGTTCCTTTCTTCTCCCATTCCTAGGGTACCATTTAAATACCAGCACCCCCCAAAGAAAAAGAAAGTTAGTTATTCCTCTGTAGTAACCCTTATATGCATTTAAAAGTGTAAAAAATATATACACACAAATATAAATATACACACACATATTTTAAGCATAAAAGCAGTTAGGAATAGACATGGCAAATACATTTCAATCCCTGTGCCAACTCTGCTTAAGCGTTCATCACTGCGTAGAGCACCTATTAGGAAATTTTGAGGCTGTGGCACAGAGTGCTGCAAACAATTAGTGATGTCTGCCATGGCAGTGAAGGAGCAGTGTGGCTCATGTGCCAAGTGTTTCCACCGTAGATTTAATAGTCATCAGTGTAGATGCCTCAAAACATCTCCAGCAGGAAACAGGATGGAAATTAAGGAGCAGAGTTTGCCAAAAACAAAGGCAGCTCCAGGCATTTTCTTTACTATACAAATGAGTAAAGGACTAAACACTTTTTGTGTAGCCCTTGGGAGGGGGAAAACCCAGTAATAGCATCCATCCATTTCCTGGTTTAACTCCCAGCTGGCTGGGCAACCTCGGGCAAATCACATCACCTGTCTGAATGTTAGTTTCAGTGGCAGAAGTCCTTTAGAATCACTGACCTTTTAATTTGAAAACTATTCAGTCACAATCAGCTGCCCCACTGGAGTCTACTGCTACAGCGTGGTGGGGAGTTAGGGACTGACATGTTCTCTTGGTAAGAACACGTGAACCAGGTGCTGAAGACTGAGCCAAAGGCACCCGAAGCCAAGGCCTGACTGTTCCTGCTGTGAGTGGAGCCATCACTCAGGGTAGGTGCCAAAGCAGCAAGGTACCACGGGGGTCAGAAAAGGGACTCCCACCTTGGTGACAGTTCTGGTGGCCCTGAAAAAGGCGGGCAGCGACTGCTTACCTTGGCTTTCTGGAGGACGGTGCCTTTGCCTGTGACCATGACTGAAAGAGGCCTGTTCTTGAGTGCTGTCGCCGAGTTGACCGGAGTACAGTCTGGGACAGGGATGGGGCTGGCAGCTTTGGGCTGTGGTCAGAGGAGAGCAAGGGCTGAGTCAGAGGGAGGGGGACATGATCCACCTCCCCCAACCCATCCAGGAGGGTCCTCCAAGTTGCCCAGAGGAGCCACGGTTCCCGCACTCACTCGGGGGCTCACGCTCTCCAGGTGAGTGGTGTCCACAGTGGTCCCCAGTGTCACAGGCCCTGCCTCAGCCTTCTTGAGGTTGTCCTTCACCTCCATGATGTTGAGCTCCAGGTCCACGCGCCTGCTCTCTTCAATCCTGCACTCCTCATCAATTTCCTTCAGCTTCTGCTCCAGGCTGGCCAGGGCTCCCTTGTCTGTGGAGAGAATTAAGCCCCTCAGAGAATGCCATCTCAGCCACATCCAGGAAGCCCTACTGGGTGGGAACAGGACTGCAGGTGGGTATGAACCCCAGGTCAGGCTCCAGTACTCAGAGCTGGAATGGGACGGGCCTCTCCCTGTGCAGTGGGTAGCCTCAAGTCCTGAGTCCTGCGTTAGCATTCAACAAAGGCTGGGGAAGGCTCTGGAAGAAGAGAAGTCTGCCTTCACAAGAAGGCATGAGTCTGAGGTTACTTGTTCTGGTGGTTTCTCAGAGGATCTCAGTTGTTTTGATATCTGCTATTTTTACAGAGACCCAGAAGGATGAGAGAAGCTTTATTAATGATCCTTGGAGGATGCTAGGCTGTTCTAACCTGCCCTCCACACTTCCTTCAAGACCAGAACCCTCGTGCCTCTGGTGCTTTCCCTAGGCCTAATGGAGCAGTGGCACCTTCTGAGTCTTGTATTATGCTTCTCCTCTCAGCTGTTAGGTTCTCTGGTACTGCAGCACCAAGAACTATGATCTGTGGTATTCCATCATAGGAGCTCACTGATCTTTCTCCCAAGGAGCACTGCACCAACCACCAGGGCTCCTTCCCTCAAAACCAGTGGGCACAAATCCATAGAGACAGAAAAATAGATTAGTGGTGGCCTAGGGATAGGAGGGTTGAAGGGAGTGACTGCTAATGGCTATGGGATTTCATTTTAGGGTGATAAAACTGTGGTGAGGGTTGTGTAACTCTGAATAACCTTAACACTACTGAATTTATATACTTTAAATGGGTCAATTGCAAGGTAGGTGGATTATAACACTGTTGTATAAGAAGAAAAAGGTCTGCACCTCTCAACCTCCTTTTTCCACATTTTAAGCTTCACAGGCATCAGCTGGGTTTGACTCCTTATGTACTTGTTATTGCAGCTGCAATTTATAGATTAAGTATGAAAAATTACTCTATAAAAACCAAGTTAAATGCTTCGGAAAGGTTCTGTAAGAGACAAGTTGCTGGAAAACAGCTGTTGCATGATGGGGGGATGATCTGGAAAATAATCTAGGAGGATTAAGATTTCTATGCTTCTTTTAAAGTGAACAAAAACTCAGACACTTGCAAAGACTGAAAATTAAGGATGATGTATTATGGGTATGTTTCATGCCAGAAAGATGACCCAGGAGGTTAAGGCCTTGGCACCACATCAAAAAGTGACATAATGAATAAATGTTTTAACTTGAGACAAATGTGTATAAAGTCTAAACATAATTTTTAAAAATTTCCTCCTTTAACCAGCTGTTTTTACTACTTCTGGTTGACATCAGGTCAAGGGGTTCTCTGTACAGAATAGCAACCCCTTAAACAGGCTCAAACAGGATTAGCAGGGAGAGAGTAACAGAGGGGAGTGCCGAGCTCTGTCAGAGGTCAACGGGGCTAAGGCTCACAGTGTGGAAGGCAGGTGCACAGATCAGATCATTCCTTCAGAAAGTCTGAGCCTGCACACCCACGAGTGGGAGGCCCCTTACCTGGACACTTTAACAGGGCCTCTTTCAGCTCCCGTTTCTCTTTCCGAAGTTGAGCCAGGTGTCCCCGGATTTCTTCCTTCTTCTTCTCCAGCCTCTCCTTCTCCTCTGTGTACCGCTTCACCTCAGCTTCTGTCCTGTTCTTGCCAAGTCTGATCTCTGCAGACCCAGAGAGAGGTTCCCCAGGTCAGCTAGGCTGGTACACAAGGGCTGCCCCAGCCCAGTTCCCAGGCTCAGCCCTGGTCTGTCCCTGAGAAGTCAGAGCTGGGAGGCCAGGCCAGCCTACAGACAGGAAAGGAAGCTGGGCCCCACACCCTTTGCTGAGTGACCTTGGGCAAGTCCCTTCACCTCTCTGAGCCTCCGTTTGCTTATCTGTGAGGGAGGGAACAGAGCTGACATCTCCAAGCCATTTCCAAACCTTAGGCTGTGTCTAGGACAAGCACCTGCACTGGTGGCCCGCAGCCTGTCCTTCCCGGGCGGGCTGGCCCCAGCGGGGGTCAGGGTCATTGTGTCAGGGCAGCTCTGTGGGAAGGAGATTTTCTGCTGTTCGGTCTGGATTTTGACGGTGGTGATTCTCAGGCAAGGCTCCTCAGGCTCCGGACTCTCCCACCGCCTCTGCTTTGGGAGAAAGTGAACATGACTCAGCCGGCTGAGCGGCCTAGGAAGGTACAGCCAGCACATCTGCCGGCAGACGGCCTGTACCTGCTCCTCGGGGGTCTCTGCAGCCTTTATGCAGGGCTCGTCTGGGGCAGGGCCTGGATCCACAGGGAAGGCCTCAGCTGGGTCGTCCAGGCAGGGCAAGGATGGGGAAGTGGCCTGGGCTTGAATGCTGCCGGAGCTGTGGAGGAACGACTTGATGGGCGTGAGGTCCAGGTACACTCGGTCAGGCTTGCTTGCACATGGAGCATCTGGCCCCAGGGTATCTTCCTCGGTGGGGTCCAGCTGCAGAGGAGAGAGAGGCAGGACTTTCCCCACTAGCTGTGCTCTCACGGCTGTAGAGGGGCCACCACCCGTGCTAGAGTTCTAAGGGACTGCCCTCCTGGGGAACCCGGTGATGGAATCAGAAGGCCTGGGTTCAAGTCCTGAATTTGCCACTAGGAGGTAGGAGACCCAGGACATGGACATGTTAAGTATCTTTCCTGAATCTTATATTTTCGAGTAATACTCCCCTATAAGGGGGTTCAGATTACAAGAGGTAATCCACGTGAAGCCCCTAGCACGGCCATTAAATGCCCAGCCAATGGAGTTGGCCATCAGTACAATGATTCCATCTCAGCTATCAACTTGGGCTCAAAGACTGATGGTGTTACTGCTCCCAACGCCACACCCCCAGCACTGACCAGAGTGGTTAACCAGCTGTTTTATCTACACAAGTCTCCCAGCCAGGCAGGCAGCACAGCCCCAGCCTCCAAAAGAGGGCCTGTTCCGCCTAGGTTCCGCACTGATGGAATTGAAAGTGCACTCAGAACCCACTCAGCTAAGGGACAATCTAACTGTGTCTGGCGTTGAGGCAGGTTTGGCAGGAGGAGGAGGATGGGGCAGCCCCGGGCCAGGCCGGCCCCCTTACCATTGCGGTCAGCTCTGACATCTCCACATCGTCGTACAGCTCCTCCTGCCGCTCCTGGAGGGGCAGGCCGTCAATGTACGCATTCGGCTCTGAAAACTTTCTCTGCATCAGTCTGCAAGACACGGCGTGGTGAAGGATTCAGGACAGGGCAGGGAAAGCCACATCTCAAAGGATTGAGAACCACAAGGGTACAGTGAAAGCCGGAGGCTAGGTGGAGACCTGGGAACTGACAGCTACCTCGTTTCTTTGGGGAATCTCCTCCCTCTAGTGCCTTCATATTAGAACTCTTGGTTCCAGATTTCTCTCCCAGAACAACGCTCCTTGCCCCTGCCCTCCTCTCAGGCTCCTTTTGCCACCTTTTCTCCCTGATCCCTGTCGGTTAGGATCTCCTCCCAACAACAAAATCCCATCTTATTTCATCCTCACAGTAGTTTGGGGCATAAAACAATCGCCATTTCAGCGGCTTGGCCAGCTTCCCACAGCTCCACCACCCTGCCCCAGAGCACTTCTCTGGGAGCCCCAGGCTGCTCCCTTGGAAAGCAGAAATGCCAGCCCTGCTTACTCCAGGGTGTGCTAGGGATGGAGGGACATGCGGGAGGTCCGTTAAAAGGCCGACTCTGTCGGAAGGAGAGCATCTAACCAGAGTCAAGGGTGCTGGGACCCGAAGACTGACCCGGCTTCTAGCCCTTAGCTGGGCTTCCCTGAGGGCTACTCCTCGGCCTTGGACTTGGCCTCGGCCTCTTCCTGCTGCTGGGTAAAACAGGGCTGAACCGTGTCAGCTGCCACCCTGCTGTGGGTGACAACCAGAGGCCACTCTGGGCCCTAGGTCTGGAAGTTTATACTCACAGCAGCGAGTTTTTGGCTGCAGTCACAATACAGGAAACCCTGTCAGCATCCACATAGTCATAGGTGAATTCTTCCGGGTCTGTCTTAGAGCCTGACTCAGACAGCAGGAGGCCCAGCCAGTGGCCCATTTCCTCAGAAGACTTGGCCTGGGAAAGTGGCCAAGAGAGATTAGCAGGGTGAGCTGTCCCTGCCTGGTGTCCAGCCCCTCCCCACCAGGCCACAGCAGCACCCCTGCTCCAGGCCCACCCCGGGCAAGGCAGTTGGGAGGGCCCAGGCACTCTCATTTTACCAGCCTATCCCATCCCCTATAGTGACTCCAAATAACACTTTGTGCCACTGGTGATAACTTGGTTTCACCTCAGTGACACCGCGGACATCAGTCCTAGGTGTCACAAGTGATTTATATACGCTTATTTCTAGAAGGCTAAGGGGCTGAGGAGAACTGTTAAAACTGCCTATACTTTTTAGGTTGGCACCTCTATTTTATACACTATCACGTTAGCTTATCACCCTAATCCATGCATGCAAGGCTGCCTGGACCCCTGCTAAGAAATCACAAAATTCAAATGTACTTTTTGTCTATGGTTTTGATGCAAAGTCAAGATGTCTTAAATACCTTACCAGGTCAACCAGCTCTGACAAATCAAGAACTAACTCCCAGTGAATTTGGTGCTTGTTTTTTTTTCGGGAACAATGCATTCTAATCAAATACGCGCACTGGGTGCACTGGGTACTTCTACTAAAATGCCAACATTATTTGTGGCCTTTATAACAAGAAAAGGCTGGGCATTTATTTCTACGAGAAAGCACAGCTACCACACTGACATCATCTAGCGCAACTCCGCTGCCCTTTCTGCTACGTTCTCTTAATCACAGAGGGAGCGATAAGTTAAGAGTTTGACATTTAGCTGGCTTCCTTTTCCCATTTATTTCAACTGGGTTTCTCAATACAGCGCTCATGGGCAGCCCTTAGTTCCAACTCCTACCACCTCTGGCCTGAGTAACCATAATATCTTCCTATTGGCTCTCCTGGTCCCTTTTTGTCTTCCTCCCATCTGTCTAGCTGGAGGAAGCATCTCAAAATCCAAATCTGAGCCTGCTGCTGTCCAGTAACACTTTGCTCTCATTGCTCTTAGGATTGAGCCCGAGCCCAAGACCTTCCCTCCGCAACCTCCTTCCCTCCCTCCAGGGTATAGACTTCTACACAAATTCACAGCACCTTCTCCAGCAACTGCAATTAATGGGTAATTAGTTGAATAACATCTCACACTCATACAAGAATGTGAGTTCCATAAGGGCAGGGACTGTTATCTGTCTCGTTCACCATATTATCGTATTCAAGTAGACACTGAATATTGGATGGATGGATACAAGCTTGCTCAGACCCAAAGCAATTGTAATACAGCCTTTTAACCACCGGAGGGCAGCACTAGAGCATAATTTGGATGAAGACCCCTTAGATAAAGTGAACTGGAGTGAAATGGGAAGTATGTGTTTATGCAAGCATAGCTCAGACAAGGCTCCGGCCTGCCACAGCTCCGTGCAAGGCAATGTCATTTCTTATTTCTGTAAAGGTAACATCATATCAAACAGGGTGGGGAGTGGGAGAAGTTTAATTGTATCACAAACCTAATTCCTCCTCAGAGAAGCGCTAACAGGCATCATTTTTAGCTGCTGGGCATCAAGGCTCCCGTCTGCTGATGCACAAACTAAATAAGGCCCTCTCTGACTCCCCAGCGGCCTTTTCCTAGCAGCTCAGGGAGTTATAAATATTCCTCCGGCCCCAAGTGCAGGAACTAGCTCATTGTCCCTCGCCTATAACACAACCACCCTGAGGTCAGAAAGGGAATGGAAATTTTCAAAAATGCAAACAATCTCAGGCAACAGCAAGTGAAAACAGCGTGTGGCAATGCTGTCGCCCTTTGCAGGGCTGCAGAGTCCTCTGGGCTTGCAGCGAACAACCGTGACCCCATACTCGGGCAGTCCCTCCCGTCTGCCCCACTGGCGGGCGGTACCTCGAGTTTGGCCAGCTCCTCCCCGTTGTGGAGGATGCGGAAGGAATAGAGGTGGTCTGGGCTTGGGTCTGGGACCACCTCGCAGCCCACCAGGCTGAGGGGCTGCTGGGCAGCCTTGCTCCGGTTCCGGTCCTGGTAGAAGTGGAGGTGACTGTCCTTGACAGAGCACCAGCGCGACTTCCACTGGCTGTTCACCAGGATGTTCAGGTAACCTGCAGGAGGAGACACAGCTGCAGGAGGGCTCACTCGTGTCCAGGCTGGCACCGCTGCTGTACCTCCTGAGGACCCCCCAAGAATCTCAGGGCACGTCTTCCTTGTGGAAGCAGCTGGACCCTTGGGAGGTGGCAGCACAGAGCTGTGCTGGTTTTAGGACAAGGGGTGTCCAGAGAGAAGTGAGTGGAATCTCTGTTTAGACCAGACCCCATGGGTGTACAGGCCAGGGGCTCCCCCGACTCTAGACCTCATCGTCACAACTCTAAGGGCCATGGCCCCACAGCAGCCCTCCGCGCCTCTTGTCACTAAGACCACCACGGCAGGAAGCTCACCCCACCCCGAGGCTCCTTGCTACAGGCTCGATCCTGTTGCCTCCACACCTAGCTTCCTCAGCCCCTAAGAGCCTTTCCATTCCTGGTCTGCTCAGTCTCAGCCTGCAGAGTTCTCTTCATGGCCAACTCTTCTTCCTCCTGCCAGCTTCCGCTGGGCTAGGGCCCTCGCTCCTATGCTCCTCGCTCAGCCTTCCTTTAGTACACTTGGCTCCTGTCTCCATGTTGGTCTCCCAAAAGGACACATGAGCTTCTCAAGGGTAAGCTGTCTACCACAGTATCTCCAGTGCCTGGGGTCTGGCCCCGAGGCCGCTCCCTCAGGGCCCCCCTTCTCTGTCTGCATGCAGAGGCTGCCAGCACCGGGGTGCACCCTCATACAACCCTTTACTGCTCTCAAATGATTTCATGTCAGGCCCAGCTCCCAGGAGAAGACATGTCCTCTCCACCATTCAATGGACGTTACTGAGCTGACACCATGTGCCAAGTTCAGCATCTGTCTCCGGGGCTCAAAGATGAGAAAAGTCTGCAGTGGGTTGACGTCACCCAGGCTCCTCACCTTCCCAGGGGCACTAGTTCTTAGAAAGTGGATACATTCTCCATCCTGAGGGACCAGTTGTGGCTCTGACCCTCAGCCCGGATTAACAGACCCATGCTGCAGGGTGACAATGCATGGCCACCTTCCCACCCAGCCCCACACTGGACACACCCTGGGGACTGCAAACTTCTCAGAGCCTCATTCACATCACATCCCTATAGCAAAGCGGAAGAAGTTAAGGACCAGGCCCTAGAGATGCTGGTTCTTCCAGGCTACACGCCATCACCATTCCTAGGGGAACTCTAAGAGAGGCTGGGCTCTCAGATCAAAGCACCAGGTCCTGGGAAGGACAGCAGTTCTCCCACCCTCCCCACTGCCACAGGGGACAGGGGCATGCTTAGCTGCTGAGTAGACTTCCAGCAATAGCCCAGCCACAGCTCCCAAACAATGACTCACTGGAACTAGGCCCCAGTGCCAAGCATGGTGCCCTCTGAGGCTGCATGGCCTGGCAGAGTTGGGCTGGGGAAGCAGAAGTACCAAAGGTAAGGCCCAATCTGCTGCCTTCCCACCCTGCCAGCCTCACAAAACAGAACTTAACTGGAACCTGGGAACGAGCCCAAGGATAAGACATGAGTTCCATGAGGAAGAGGAGAATGCCTGAGGGTGGACAGTAATGGCTTTCAGATCCCAGAGGAGCTACAGCAGTGAGTCCCAGGTTGGGAACTAGGACCCCAGGCTCAGCCCCTAACCCAAGAACATTTTCTGGGAAAGGCCCCTCTCCTCTCCTGGCCTCAGTTTCCTCAAGTATGACCTGAGGACAGTAGAGATGACCTCTAAGAGGCTGCCCCTGGATGCTAGCCCCCATGTACACTCTCCATACCAGCAACATGGCCTTCTCGTCATCACCCTAATGGGTCTCACCTATCCCATCTCAGAATCTTTGCGCCTGCCCACAGCACCATCCCAACCCACTGATCTCCCACCCACCCTTCAAGGCTCGGGTACATGAAGCCATTCTTCCCCACACCACCACCTCGGACCACATAGCAGGAAAGGTTCTTTCTGTCCCTGAGTTTTTATAACTATTAGGATGGCACAGGGTGTAGTTATGATATAAAGCCATCATCTCTCCTGGGCTATAAGATCTCAGGACTATGTCCTCCATCTGCCTAGTCCCCTTTTCCATGGTGCCAAACACTGTACCTGCCATGCTCCGTAAGCACTGATCAAATGAACATAATTTGTAAAAACACATTAGGAGGACACCAGTCAGTTACCCTTCACCTCCACAAAGGATCAAACGTTGCGGCAAGAGAGAGTCTGATTAGGCATAGAGAACCACCTGCAGTGAAGAGAAACAGACGCCTGAGGGCCATGGGCTCTCTGTCCCTGGAGAGGTTTAAAGCAAGACCTAACCCTCTGCCTTGGCCATCTGAGCTCCCCTGCCTTTGGGGGGCTGCCATTCTTACTGGATGTCTCAAGGGCCCTCTCTGAAGGCTCCAGCGATGCGGATTTCTTCCTGCCCAGGTTCATTAGGTTGCTCAGTTTGAGACCAGCAGAACATTTCTTCTTGACTGTCAAGAAGAGGGAGAGATCAGTCATCATTGCCCACAGACCACTGACATGCCCTTGCCGGAAGCTGGGGAATATGGCAGACTCGTTCCCGCTATACCTGCCCGTACACATACACGTACACACACACGCATGTGTGTCTTCTGCTCTCCAATCCAGGTTTCACAGCCCTGAGTCAGATGTCTCTAACACACTCACGACAGACACAGAGACATCTCTTGTAGAATATGGAGGCGCTTGAGAATCTTTATGAACTGTCTTGGTTAAAAGATTTCAAAGGGGATTGGTAAAAAGAAGAAATAAAAGAATATTCTATCCCCAGCATTTTGTGACAAGTAACTTCAATTTGGTCACTTCTTTTTCCTGGTTCTATTAGCTGTCGGGGAATCCAAGACAGTGCAGATGGTTAATGTACTTGGCTGCTAACCCAAAGGCTGGAGGTTTGAGTCCCCCCAGAGGTGCCTCAGAGGAAAGGCCTGATGATCTACTTCCAAAAAATCAGCCACTGAAGACCCTATAGAGCAAAGTTCTACTCTGACACACATGGGGTCTCCATGAGTCAGAGTCGACTTAACGGCAACTGGTGGTGGTGGATCAGCTGTAGCATTTCCGAGTAGTTTATAATTGAAGGCGAGGTTAGAATCAGGTGCTAAAATGTGCTATAGTTGAGCCAGACAAGTCTCACACTCAGGGATAGCACATCCCTCCCTGACCGTGAGGCTGAGGCAGAAGTGCTGTTACCATCTTTGGTCTCTGGGACCTCAGGGTGTCCATCTATGCAGCCTCCATACTCAGCGGCTAACAGGTACTTCTCAGCAATCTCCAGCTGTGGAAAAAAGAAAGACAGTGGGGTGATCCCTGGCTGGGAATGGTTACCTCGGAGACTACAATTTGGGGAAAAATAGTAGATGGCTCTTGGGTGTAAGCCAGAGTCAACCTGACTACCCCCTGTCCCTGCCACCTGGAAAGCAACAGTCCAGGTCACTGGAAGTTTGGTCATTAGCCAAGCTTCCCCCTGGGCCTGAGAGCAGCTTCTCCAGCTGCTTTCCCCACCCCCTCCTGAACTTCCCTGCTCTGTCCCACAGCACCATCCCCTCTTCAAGCCACCACCCATCCTCATTCACAGGTTCTCAAAATGACAGCTCAACCTGATGAGGCCGTGGCCCTTGACGTGACAGTGGGAAGGGCAGGTAGGCAGCCCCAGGGTGGCATTCAAGTCTGCATCCCAACTGAAGTGACTCCCATGGTCAAGCTGGGAACCAACATCCTGGGATCGGGTGGGGGAGTCTGCTGAGAGCTGACTGTGCTGCACGGGGTCAGACCACAATTCGGACCACAGCTCAAGCACTCTCTAGCCAGCGGGTGCACAGGTTAGAAGCCTCTCAAAGCCCCACTCCACAGGTGTGTAAACTAGAGATAACATCCTAGTCTGCATTCCCAGGGTTCCTACGGGGACTACAGAGAGCCCCTAGAAAAGTGTAGCTGCTGCTGTTAGAACTTGAAGCATCTGGAATCTTCCTATCAAGCTTCCTCGAGAGAACCACCTACTCCAGACCTCTGGGAAAACCAGCTGATGGGATCCACGGGCAGGGTCCAGGAGCTAAAGCCACCCAGCCAGGGGGTCCTGCTCACCAAGTCTTCAGGGACGGATCTTGTTTCTCACCCCAACATGAAGGAACCCCAAGTTCACTCTGACTTTAGTTTTCTTGTCAGTTATCAAGGAATGAACAAGACAACTAAAACGTCAGCCTAAGTCCCCCTGGAAGGGCCATAGTATTTCTCCATGAGGGATGGCCTGCGCTCTCCAAGAACAAAGGGCTTACACCCTACCCAAGCCCTCTGCATACCCTCTTGCTTTCCTCCCTTCCAGAGATGGGGACCCTGAGACGAGGCCCAGTGACTCTCTGGCTGCTCTGTGCAAGCCCAGGCTTCCGGATACCAACCTGTGGAGACCCGGGGATGTGGAATGTGACCCCACGGGTGGTGGGTCCCTCAGCCAGCATCCAACCCAACTTCCTCCACCTTGTCGCTTATGCTGAGTGCTCCAAAGCTCCAGGCCAACAAGCACCAGAGACCTTTGGCAGGCATCAACAATGAGACAGTTCCCCTAGAGGCTTGACTGGGGAGTAAGTAGGAAAAACAACCTCATAAAGTAAATCTTCCTGTGGCCCACATCTTCAGCATGTGGGCCAAAGTCACTTCTGTTCCAATAAAGCTTCCCCGCCCCCCTAATTAAGAAAACAATTTAGGTCTGTATCTGTTTCACCCGTTTTCCTGCCAAGCTAACATCCTTATCCAAGCATTACATGTTTCTTTTTCATTGGGCTGACATGCAAAAACACAGCTCCCAATTTTACACTTGGAATTTTTACGGAGAAAAAGTGGAATTGCAGTCTCCTCCCGAGAAGGGTAGAGGCTTACTTTCTGACAGCTGAGGCGCTGGGTATCTGGGACGCATTGGTTTCCCTCGGACATGCCCTCGGAAGGCAGGCTGCTCACCTCCTGGATGACCTGATGGGAGAAGAGACGTGTCAGGGAAGGCCGAGGCCCTGACAGGCCCTTCTGGCCTGCACACAGAGCCAGACCAAAGGTCAAGGAGAGTGGGTGGAGGTGAGAGAGAAGATGCCCTATTTCCAGGGAACAGAGAACCACTCACTACCCCCTGGGCCACAGATGGCCTCAGAGCCCAGAGGGGCAGCCACGGAGGGGAGGGCTGTGGCTTCAGGCCTCGCTCCTGCAGGCCCCACATGCTCCGGGGGTGGGGCCTTTGCAGCAAGCTCAGAGCTGGCCAGAGCAGTCGGCCCTCAGCTCCAGGAACTGCGATTAGTCTTTGAGGGTTGTGAAGGGAGGTCGGTTTGGTAAAACTGGTGTGACTAATCGGCCCACCAACTGCAAGAGTGTGCAGCTTCTGCACTCGGGCACATACAGCCAAGCCCACTTCTGCAGTTCTGCAGAGCAGGGAGGAACAGGGTCTCTCTGTGCAGCCGGGACAGAGGCTGGGCCTGCTGAAAAAAAAGCCTGCTTGTCTCTGAAACTACCAGCAGGGGGCTGTGGGGGCAGGGGTCTCCGGAAGAGGGCGTGGGAGTTTGGGGGAGGGAAGTTGGGGTCAGGGATAGGATGGGGGTCTGAGCAGTCAGAGGAATAGCACTGGGAACTGGGAGCAAGGGGCGTGAGAGATGGGGGTAGGGAAGGGCTGGTATGGAGACCAGGCCAGCCAGGACAGGACCTGGGCAAGAGAAGGGAATTACAAACCAAACCAGCAGCCCAGAGCCCTGGGTCCTCATCAGCTCTGCAGCTCAGGGCCAGCCCCTAGCTTTCCCTGGGCCTCCGTTCCCGTGTCAGCACTAGCCACAGTTCATGTAGCACTCCCCGCAGGCCAAGTATAGTGCTAAGCACTACGCATGCGTTAAGTAACTGCAGTGTGATTAATTACTTTTACGTGTGGCCTTTCTAGACATGGTCTTATAACTCACACCCAGTTGACTGGGCAAGACTGTGTGATAGGGTAATTGTGGCCTACTAAGGGGATTGGTCAGTTCTGCCTTAAAGGAGACCCAATTTCAGAGCAGAGGGGAAGAGCCCACCACCAAGGAAGGAGAGACCCAGGAGCAGAGACCTGGCAGGAGGAAACAGTGCGGTGGGCTTCCTGGCCCCCAGAGAGAGAAAGCTAAGCGCCTTTGGGCAGAAGACTGAGGGCCAGGGAGAGAGGTGTGCCTGTGAGCACAGCTGGGGAGAGGCTATCCTGGTGGAATAACTGTATCCTGAGTGTTCTTGAGCCTGAATCATAATTGTTACTTCCCTCATAAACCCCATAATCCTGAGTATGGTCGGTGAGTTCTATGTGGCCACTGCAACGTATTATCGAACCCAGCAGAGAAGTAGAGTGTGCTGTGTGAGGAACGGTTGGTGTCAGAGTTGGTAAAGATGGTGGAGAGAGGAGGCTTGTCTGGCCTCCACCTCACAGGAATCAGCCTTGGGCTGTTGATCTTGGTTCTCCTTCCCCCTTGTGGGGTTGGAGGAGGTCAGACACTGCCTCACACCATTCTTACAGTAACCAGCTCAAGGCCACTCAGCTAAAAAGGGGTGGAGCCAGAATTCGAACCTAGAGCCCACGCTCTTAAATACCCAGGTTAGGCCTTCCAGAAAAGGAGCCCTGGTGGCACAATGATTAAGCACTTGGCTGCGAACTGAAAGGTTGGCGGTTCAAACTCACCCAGTGGCTCTGCAGGAGAAAGACCTGGTGATCTGCTTCCATAAAAACCACAGGTTAGAAAACCCTATGGGGCGATTCTGCTCTGTCACGTGGGTTCGCTATGAGTCAGCATCAACTCAACAGCACCTAACAACAACAGGCCTTCCAGAGCCAACATTCTCCAAGCACCTCCCCCACAGCGATCTGCTGACTGCAAGTATGCAGTGTGGCGAGTTTTCTTGTCCTATACATTGTCATCAGCCATCTGGGAAATTTGCAGTAAGGACTGAGGTGCCTGTCCACTCCTACGAGAAGCTTGGCTTTGAGACAGACTGGGCCAGGTATTCTCAGAACATTTAGTGGGTTCACAGAAGCAGCCCCCAGCCCCAAAACTGGGGAACTCAGCCCTCGAGAAGGCCAGTTCCTCGGCAGATACTACCTTCAGTCACGCTTTAATAAGGCACTGCAGGTGTGTTACAATTTGCAGGGCTCATGGGCTCACCAAGGTGGTTATGTTTAGCTGAGGCAGCGGATGGGGGTGGAGGGTGGGTGTAAGGCTCCTACACGAGAAACGCATCAATGTGGCAGTGATGGTGGAGGGGGTATCGGGAAGGAGGGAAGAGGCCCCTCTGGCCCTCCATGGCCTCACCAGGGACCATGCTGGGTAGGGAGGCTTCTCTGGAACATTCTTGGTGCAAACCTCATAGCTTCTTGGATTATCAAGCTCATTTCTAATATGTGGCAGGCAAGCTCCCTCCCCAGACGCTTCAGCAGCATCACCCCGTGCACCTGTGGCTGTAAACACAGGACCTGTGGTCAGACAGTGCTGGGTTCGAAACCCAACCGCACTGGCCGGGTGACCGTGAGCAAGTCACCTCCTCCCTCTGAGCCTTACCCTCCACTCCTGTAAGAAGGGGACACTGACATCGACCTCTAGTGTGGCTAGATGGATTAAATTTGCTAAAGGCCCATGGCCCATGGTCAGTACTTAACAAGTGGCAGCGACGTCCACGCTTTTTCTAACAAGGAGAATGATGACGCCTCACTAGAGGCAAGGAAGGCAAACGGATTTCATCAAGAGCCCGAGCCCAGGCGACTGAGAAGGAGTCAGACCCAGCAGCAGAGTGCTGTCCCTGATTTCCATAAAACGGTCTGCTACCACTTAGAACACAGGAAGCATCATAGACATGAAGGATCATAGACCCCTCACCCTGGCAACATCATCCATCCCTTTTGAAAAAGCTAGATTTATGATAGCTGGTGGGTGGTACAAATGGTTAATGTGCTTGGCTGCTAACCGAAAGGTTGGTGGTTCGACTCCACCCAGAGGTGCCTCGGAAGAAAAGCCTGGCAATCTACTTCTGAAGAATCAGCCACTGCAAACCCTATAGAACACAGTTCTACTTTACGTGCATGGAGTCCCCGTAAGTTGGAATCAACTCAAGAGCAACTGGATTTAGGAGAGTTGGTGAGCCAGAACTCAGAGCCCCAGAGGGGAGCAGGCCCCACTGCCCCCGTGGCCTGGCGTCCCCCTCACCCGGAGCCACTGCTCAGCCTGGTCTTTGCTCTGCAGGCCCAGCACGATCACGTCGGCGTTCATCGGCGTGATCTTCAGCTTGTGCTCCTTCTTCCGCACTTGCTTCTCCTTGTGGATGACGCTGCTGCCCAGCAAGTTCACGTCCAGCTGCGGGCTGTGGTCCTTGGAGGATTTGTAGCACTGGAAGAAAAGACAAGAGAAACCAGGTTGCCAGGTCTAGCCAGGTCTGCAGAGGCAAGGCCTCCAGGCGTTGCAGGAGAGCCCGGCTTTACCCAACGAAGTCAAAAGGCTGGACACCCGACAGCAGGCCCAGAGCCTTAATCTCAAACATCAGAGGGACAAGGCAGGTGGTGGCCTCTCCTTCAAGCCTCATTCTTACCAGCCTTGGCCAGGGAAGCTTCAGGCCTTTGCTTGCTTAAACCACTCAAACCTCACTCCGGGCCTGGGGTGGTTCCTAAAATGTGCCATCCGTAGGTAACTGTCACTTACCAGAGGTGGACCTAACTTTTTTATCATTTCTCTACCTCTTGTCATCATTTCTAGCTGAGTTTCCCCAGTAAGGGATCCACAGGGAATGAAAACTAAGTTTATTATCTGCTTAGTTAGAAGATGGTCTGTTAGGAGAGAAAGGAAGGGACTCTCCTCCCAACCAAGCAAAATACTTTTCTTTGCACCTTAGTTTCTCATTTGTAAAACTGGGGTCCTTACAGCATTTGCCCTGAGCAGGGCACACTGTAACCAGCGAAGAAATGTGTTTATAATAACTCCATGGAACTTTAAATGAGGACATAAAACCAAATCTTAAAATAACCGGAAATAGGACTGTTATCAGAGTACTATCTTCTGATTTCTTTTTGGGTCTTGTCTTACATCAGTAATTAAAAGCATTGCAACTTCTGAGAAAATGCGTACGATTCGCACATAGCACAGATGAAAGCAATAACCAGAATCAGGGCTGGGAGCTGGGTTCGGGTAGCAGCAGGCTCATGGCTTAGGGGGCACTGAACTTCTGCTAACAGTAATGGAAAAATCCGGCAAACAGATACAGGTGGTGATTGAACAGTATGATGAATGCAATTAACGTTGCAAAATTGTCATTAATGTCACCTGTAAACATGCTGAAAGAGCAAATGCTTTGTCACATATATTTATCACAATAAAATCTTTTTTTTAATGTGAATGGGATAGAGTCTGAATAAAAACTACTAGAAATTTTCTAATTAAGAAAAAACACATTCACCTATACCTACAAAATTCTGCACACAATTTCAGATTAAGGAGAGGTTAAGACATCCTGATATAAAAAGGCTCCCAACTGCTGTCATCTGAGACCCCCCCTTCCCCAGCTATGCCCTCCCGCCAACCCACCCCACCCCCCACCCCCGCGAGAAGACGGAACACAACATAAGACTGACTGACCAGGAGTCTGGTGTCCTTGATGACACAGAGCTGCTTGGCCCACTGCCCCAGCCACTTCTTGCGCCACAGGAAGGCGCAGATGCGGGCATCACGCATCAGCTCGATGCTGGCCTCGGGCGAGGGCCACTGGTAGGGGGCTGACTTGCCCTTGCTGCTTTCCTCTTCATCGTAGGACTCATAGGAGCTGCTCACGGCCTCTCCATCCTCTGTAAGGAAGACCAGCTCAGTCACAGCCCCACCAGCAGGGATATTCCTCAATGTGGTTCGTTCAGGAGGGCAACCAGCAGCTGGTAGCCGGCAGCAGGCCTCAGGACTCAACTCACTTGCCTCTCGTGCCCCTGAACCAGCCCCTCAGCCACCAACCGCAGACCCTGGCAGGTCTTTCTGCTCCAACACCTTCAGAGAAGCGTCTCAGAGGCTATCTCTGACCACACACACAAATAACTCAAAACCAAGAATTTCCTGTTTTCGTCCTCAAATCCTGTCATCGCAGACTTCACAGAAACCTCTGACAAGACATTGCCACGCGGACCAGCTGTTTGCTCTTAAGGCCAGTTCTACTCTAGGCCTCTGTTTCCTCAACTGAGGGATGAAGCAGGTTGGGGTGGGGGGGAATCTTTCTAGATTGTTCTGTGCAATTCTGTCAATCTGAGGGACCAGGAAGAAGGGAACACCACCAGAGCCTTGAGCTGCATACACAGCACTCCTCCAAAAGCCTCCCGGCCGGCAGGGCCTGGTTCTATCAGACAGAGGGGAGACAGGACCGTGACCCTCAGAAATACAAGGCTAAATAAACCACCGTAGGAAATAGCATGCTCAGGAAGGAGGCCACCTTCCAGCCCCTAAGTACTCCCCACATAGTCATATTCCTTTTTTAAAATCCAGTCTTTCATCCTCGAGAGAATCCACCCCTCCCTGCTCAACCCCTCCCTGCGCAAACTTAGCTGCTTTCAGCCCTGTTTCTCCTTACACCCTTTCCCTTACCTGTGGCAGTGAGCCAACCTCACGTTTTTGTTCTATTTTGAAAGAACTCCAAAACTCTGTGCCACAGGCCTTGCTGCTGTTTACTAAGGACGACAAAACTACCTACCTGAGGGGGGAAAAAATCCAACAACACTGAAAAGCGGGAACCGAAGAAGAGGAACCTCAGGGATCCCTACAGACCAGGCATCCAGTCTATGGCAATGCTGACGCTACTCCAGCCTCTGCTTGAATTCCCCGTGGACGGGGAGCTCACTACCTCTTGATTGCTGGATGCTTCCTTTCACTACTGGGCAGTCCTAACAGAAAATGGGCCCAGCATCTCCTGCCCTGTGACTTCTACACAGGTCCTTGCTCTGCTCCCTCAAATGTGGGGGAATAAAACCCCTTTCCTCCACATGACCCCTTTCAGAAAAGAGATAGCCCCCTAGAGCCCTAATCTTCCCTTCTGAGAGCCCCTTCCACCTGCATAGCTAAGTTCCTGCGTACTAAGAAAACAGAACCACATGTGAATTCGAATATAGGGAAACCGATGAGACCACTGCAATAGTTCTTCTAGCTCCAGTACCAATGAAAATGTGTGACAGGGTTTCTGAATACAACACTTTAAACATTTTAACATTAGGTTTCTTTAAAAGCATTGGGGTGCGACTCCCATTCATGGCTTAATAAAAAAGCTGCACAGTTGATAATTTTACACCTATTAACTAAGCAATGATTTAAAATGCTACCCAGTGGGGGACCCTGAACTCCCCTGTGGCTGGCGGCAACATAAATTAACACAAGCCTCTCAGAAAGCAGTCTGGTAGCCTGGTGTTTTAAGAGCCAAAAACACCCACGCCCTTTGACCCAGTAATCCCAGTCCAGGGAGTTTTTCCTAGGAAACTAGTTTGTAAAAAAAAAAAAAAAAAAGCAAGAAGGGGAGGGTTCCATGCATTGAGATAGTCGAGTGCTATTTAATGGAAGGGAACTGGTTAAGTAAAGGTTCTGTCCAGTCAGAAGCATACCATGCAACCATCATCAACTAAAACTCTGAGGACTAGTCTGCAACTCCACAAACTCCTGCAGACAGAATGGTAGGTAAACAAGCACAATTAAAATTACATCTGCCGATATACCCAGCATGGAGAAATCAAAATGACTGATATGGTGGGAGGATCAGGGTGATTTTTAAAAATGTCCCCATTATCAGTTTTGTATTATCTGTAGGATACATGAAATAAGAACAATGACGTGTCACTGGGCTACCTCGTTCAGTAACAAAAATGGAGGGAGGGAGGCCACAGAGTGTAGCGCGAAGAAGTTGGGTAAATCCCCTCGCTGTTTTGTGCTTCTGTGTTTTTCCCACGTGTTACATGGAGAATTCTAATACCCGCCCATCCTGTTCCACGGGGGGATCAGGAAGCTAATGGAGAAGAAACAGCAAATCATGGTACCTGGAGTAGCCTGGAGGAAATTTAGGGCAAATTTATTAACAATTTTATTTAGCCCTAAGAGTAATCATAAAACCAGTTGCTGTCGAGTCGGCTCCGAGTCATGGCAACCCCATGTGTGTCAAAACAGAACTGTACTCGATAGGGTTTTCAAGGCTGTGATCTTTTTGGAAGCAGATCACTGGGCCTTTCTTCCGACAGGCCTCTGGGTAGATTTGAACTCCCAACCTTTTGGTTAGTAGCTGAGCACTTAACTGTTTGTGCCACCCAGGGACTCCTATGCCCCTAAATGTAGGATATTCTTAAAAAGGAGAGTTGGCTTCCAGGGTCACTAGGAAACAGGAGTGGAAGGCAGGGTGCTCAGATGTCACCATCCCTATTTTTCCTGTCCCCAGGTGGACTGCACCCCACCATGTCCTATGGGAAGCCCTCAGGAACAGAGGGCAGAGTGGCCACGCAGTACTCTGAGTCTTTCAGCCATGAGTTGGGACGCGTGGGCAGGGGTCTGTGCAAGTGGGGACGCTAAGTCACTTCTCCTGAAAGGATGACACACAGGCACGGACATGCAGGACCCAGGCATGAGGACAGGGAGAGGGCAGCGGCCACCCTTGAAGCATGCACCCCACCAGGCAGCAGGCGAGGCAACACTGGCATTCGGCTGTGCGCACAAGCAGTACCCAGGGTGATGGTGGCATACACGACTCCTTCGGGCACCTGCACCCATCTAGGGGCTCCGGTAGGACGAATTCTGCCAGAATGACCTGCATGACATCCAGAGGCACAGACAGAGGAGAGATGGAGAGAGATAAGATGAAGAGACAACAGAACAAGTACAGAGACACAGAGAGAGATGCAGAGGCAGCGACCTGGCTGCCTGTCCACCAGGAATGAGTGCTTTCCCATCGGAGCTGTGGGCTTGTCAGAAGAGGCCACAGCCCAGCCCAGGGCGTCATTTCCCAGCTCCTGTTACATCCAGAGATGACCGTGTGACTGCATGTCACCCATGGAATATGGGCAGAAAGGATGTGTGCCTGGCACTTTTAAGAAACAGAGAGGGGTCCTCTGCTCTCTCTTTGGAAAGAGCCTGGGCATCTAAATTATCTGTTGTTGTTGCTACCATCAAGTCGGGCCCCCACTCATGATGATCACATGCACAATGGAACAGAACAGATTGGACTATTGTGATCCAAAGGGTTTTCCTTCAAGGCTTTATATATGTCATCCCATTGCCTTCTTGCCTGCATGGTTTCTGCTGAGTAGTCCAAGCTTACTCTTATTGACTCTCCTTTGTAGATGACTTTTCGTTTATCCCTAGCAGTTCTTAAAATTCTCTCTTTATCTTTGGTTTTGGCAAGTTTGATTATGATACGTCTTGGTGACTTTCTTTTGGGATCTTCTGTGGGGTTCGATAAGCATCTTGGATATGTCATCTTTCACGATATCAGGGAAGTTTTCTGCCAACAGATCTTCAACAATTCTCTGTATTCTCTGTTATCCCACCCCCTCTTCTGGTACTCCAATCACTCGTAGGTTATTCCTCTTGATAGAGTCCCACATAATTCTTAGGGTTTCATTTTTTTAAATCCTTTTATCTGATTTTTCCTCATATAAGTTGGTGTCAAGTGCTTTATCTTCAATCTCACCAATTCTGACTTCCATTGCCTCAGTTCTGCTCCTATGACTTTCTATTGTCTAATTCTGAAATTTTATTATCTTCTGGATTTCTGATTGCTGTCTCTATATGGATTCTTGCAGTCCGTTAAATTTGTCATTATGCTCTTCTCTAATCTTTTTAATTTCCTCTATTGCGTGTTCTGCGTTTTGCTTAATTTCCTTCCTAATTTCTTGAAGAGCTCTGTATATTCATCTTTTGTACTCTGCCTCTGGTAATTCCAAGAAATTTTCCTCCTCTGGAAAATTTCTAGATTATTTTGGGAGCTTGCTGAAGCCATCACGGATTGCCTCTTATGTGATTTGACTGTTGTCTCTGAGCCATCAATAAGTTATTATTTTATGTTTGCTTACTGTGTCCTAGCTTCTTATTTTGTTTTGATATGCCCAAATAGGCTGCTCGTATGAGCTAGTTTGATTATTAGCACCTTTGAAGCTCTAATGTCCTGTCACCAGGTGGTTAGATCTGTTACTAGGTATGTGAGCTCAGGAGTCTACCCACTCCTCCTGTATCGATTTGGCTCAGGTGCCTACACAGATAGCCGCCAAGTGTGTGGTGTAGGCTCTCACTTGCAGTCCTAGACAGGCATGGGTGACTGGTGTAGGCACAGGCATCTGGCTACAGCAAGGGGACACACTCTGAGCAAAGCAGGGGGCTGACGGCCACCCCCGAGTGTCCAGGAGGAAGGCATATCCCTGTTCCCTACAGCATGTAGGTGGGTGGGTTTTATAGCCGGACTATGAACACCTAATGCTGTTGGCTGTAAGGACTGGGGGGCACCTCTTATTCATGGGCCCCTATCACAGGTGGCTAGGTGGTGTGGGTGGAGTCACTAGTCCTCAGGCTCCTGATGTGGGTAGGTGAAGACCCTGCTTAATGGGCACAGCAGTGTCAAATGTCAAGAGCCTGTCACTTCACAGCTGAACAGTTGAAGTTAGACTTCCAGTATATACCCTGTTGTACTGCAGTAATGAGGGCCTACACTGTTGAAATGGGCCCACACAAGTCTATGCAGGGGGAAAGGCACTCGAAGTCCCTGGATCCCTTTTGCCTGCGCCTAGGCAAAGGAGCTGTGCCTACCCTGGGTTCCTGGCTTAGGGGAGCCGGCAGTTTATTATTTCCCATTTGTTAAATTTGTTCTCTCTCCAAGGCAGGGAGAATGTCTCCAGGCGTGTGACGGATCCTACTTCCGGCCCAGGGGACTCGGCAATTGCTGAAGCCAGTCCAGGACCCACTGCAGAACAGGGAGCGGGGAGGTAAATGGGAGAGAGGTTTTTCCCTAAGGGGGGTGTTTTTGATCCACGAGGTAGGCCGTATGCAAGTACTTATCTTTTGCCAATCCAGGGCTGCTTCTCACTGGTTCTGGGTGGCTGTTGGACTCTCTGGAACCGGCTCTCTCCCGGTGCGGAAAACACACCTCCCAAGCACCACTGCTTGCCTGCCTCACTGCTCACCCCCGAGCTGATCAGGCCTTAATGGCTCAGGCTCTCGCTGAGTCAGGTCTGGCAACTCCTCACTGCTACTGAACCATCTCTCCCTCTCCCTGCCACTCAGTCTGGTTCCTCAACTCTACCTTTGATGTTCAGGGCTCCCAGATTGCCATATATAATCAATTGACTTATTTTTTTGGGTCTTTGTTGTAAGAGAGTCCACCAGAAGCATCTGACTACTCCGCCATCTTGGCCCCGCTTCCTCTCGATAGAAAGGGTTTTCAGTGGCTGATTTTTGAAGTAGATCAACAGGCCTCTCTTCCTAGTCCATCTTAGCCTGGAAGCTCTCATGAAATCTGCTCAGCATCATAGCAACATGCGAGTCTTGACTGACACATGGGTGGTAGCTGCACATGAGGTACACTGGCTGGAAATGGAACCTGGGTATCCTGCATAGGAGAGATTTCCACCACTGAACCACCAATGCCTCCTTCCCTAAACTACCTACTGACCAATTATACCCACATTGAGCTGCTCCATGAATGAAAAACAGATTTTTATCGTGTTACTATAAGGTGCAGTTGGGGGGTTATTTGTTACAGCAGCTAGCATTACCCCATAAATGAAGTAACTGATGCCTCAGGCCAGCAGGACAAACCCTAATATCTCCAGCACAGGCCATTAGGGCACTTATTAGACTTTTACTAAGAGAGAGGAGTGTGACCCAGTGAGTTCTGTGGGGTCACTGCTGACAGAGCAGGACAGGAATCCAAGCAACCGGTCTTTTGCAGGAAGTCAGCTAACTTGCGGTTGGCCAACCAACTAGAGCAAGCGGCTGGGGCCCAACGGTTGTTCCTTCTATTGCAACCTGCACGTCACACTGCTCCATCAGGTGTGAGGATGACAGGCAGGAACTTGAGAAGAGGCCAGCTGATAGCCCAGGTGAAGCCCTCCCTTTCTGATGAGTATGACCACATCTCCCCAAGTCTTCTTGAGTTCTCATTCTCCAGGGGAAGCAAGGCAGTGGCGTTTCCCCTCCCACCTGGCTGTTTACTTTACAGTGAGATTCCCTCCATCTCTGAGCTCTCCTGACCTACTCCCCGTGGTGAGTTCAAGCTGACTCCAGTCCTGACTACGAAAAAACCAGACGAAACCAGTTGCTGTCAAGTCAACTCCAACGCATGGCGACTACATGTGTGTTAGGGTAGAGCTGTCTTCCATAGGGTTTTCAATGGCTGATTTTTCAGAAGTAGATCACCAGACCTTTCTTTCAAGGACTTGAACCACCAACCTTTTGGTTAGCACATTAACTATTTCTACCACTCATGGACTCCATCATAGCTACAGCCAATTTGAATTCACAGCTGAGGGACAAACGCCAAGAAGCCTAGGTCTTTCTGGCAACTTGTTTGTGTTTCTGTCACACAAAGCCCAGGATGAAGTGTCTGTCCCACAACCAGGCCCCCTGGGAGTGTCTGGGAGGCAGGCCCCAGCTGGTCCAGCCCGTACCTAGAGAGACATGACTGAAGGTACAGGTGGTGCTCACCGAGGTGAGTCACTGCCTCCACCTTCAAGTTGTGCCCCAACATCAGCACCACACCCTCGGCGCTGGTCTGAAATCACAGCCCAGACTGGTGACTCAGCGACGCCTTACACCCTCAGCAGGTTAAACTAAGTGCCGTCCGCCCACACAGCCAGTCTCTTACCATAACATCAGTCAAAACAGGCCCTGGTGTCCCACACAGTTCCCAACACCACGGTCAGTAGGTAAAGTGTGAAAAAAAGAGAACCACCTAGTGTGGCCCCCAGTCACTGGTCCTGTCTTGTCCCTGGTCCCTCATGGAACCAACAAGGTTCTCCTTCAGCCAAGTTCATTCTCAGCACCAGGGACACTCATCTCTGACATCTGCAAGTTGCTTTATACTTTCAAGGAGCCCTGGTGGCACAGTGGTTAAGAGCTAGACTGCTAATCAAAAAGTCGGCAGTTCAAATCCACCAGCTGCTCCTTGGAAACCCCATGCGGCAGTTCTACTCTGTCCTATAGGGTCCCTGTGAGTTGGAATCAACTCAACAGCAACAGGTTTGGTTTTTTGTTTGTTTGTTTGTTTTTTGTTTTCATTCTTTCAAAGCCCTTTCATTTATGAAGGAAGGAAAGAGAAGGAGGTAGTACAGGAAAAACAAGAGTACTGGAGTCTAGCCGTCCTAGAGAATGGCGCCACACCCCCTCTTCCAGAACTTTCTGGACTTTTCTAATAGAACCCGTGCTCCAAGAGTACTTCTGATTGGATTTCCTCAGGCTGAGAGCCACTGGCCAAGGTAAGGGGGTTCCAGCCTGAGTCCTGCCCCACAGCCTGTTCGCCACACAGTGTCCAGAGCCACCTCTGTAATGCCTAAGTTAGGCTGGTCCCTAAGTCACTGTCTAGGGTTTGTAGCCTCATTCAGAGAGAAGCCAAGTCCTCCCCATGGCGTTCCATCTCCTGTCAGTGGGTTAGAACTAAGCGACATCTCCTGCTCCAGCCACACTGGCCTCCTTGCTGTTCCTCACACACAACAGGAGCTCAGGGCCTCCATGTGCGCTGCCCTCTCTATCTGGAAAGTCCTTCCTGCAGGGACCTGCACGCCCCATCCCCGCTGCATGTGGGACTCTGCTCACGCCATGCAATCAGAGAGGCCTTTCCTATCTAAACAACACCCCTCTGCTGCCTGAGCCCAGCCCCCGCTCCCCCTGCCATCCTATCACTTAACCACTCAGCACATTGTATATTTATTTGTTGTCTAGGATGTAAGTGCCGTGACAGCAGGGGTCTTATCCTGGGCACTGCTGCACCGCTGACTCCTGGGAGGATGCCCTGCACAGAGCAGGGAAACAGTCAATATCACCTGAACAAACGTATGAAAGAACACAGAAGCTGGGCTCAGACTAGCCTGACCACTATTTCCTTTGTGCACCTCCCAACACACCCGCCTCCATCACATTTCTGTGCTCAATCCAGCAACATCCAGGTAGAAACACAGAAAACCAGCTTATCGCCTGCTGCCCAGCCCCTAGCCCGTGTCCAAGCAGGCTGGGTCTGCCGTGGGTCTTGGCTTCCCATTCAGACCAGAGGCCAGTTCTCACTGTCGCTAAGAGCAGCCCAGTTTGCCCTCTGCCTTCTGGCCCAGGATGAGCACGTTGGTCCACGGGATCAGTCGGCACCAGCATCCGTGCAGGAAGCTGCGAGCCCCACTCCAAGCCCAAGCTGCTGGCTGTACCATTTAAGGACATGTCATAAGGCTCGGCCTCTTCATAGTAGCCCTCTGGAGACTCGACCTTTGGGACAACGGGGAGCTGTTTCCGCTCTGGAATCTGTGGCATGAACAAAAAAACACTTTCAGATACAATACATAGGGAATAACTTGGAATCAACACTTTAGATGGGAGGAGGAGGAAGTACCGAAGAAAAAACGCTTGACTGGAATTCAAATAAGTGGGGAGGGAGAAGGCAGAGCACCCCAACTCACTGTCTGGCCTGCAGCCAGCTGAGAGGCTGTGAGCGTGCTGCTTGACCACACCAAGCCACAGGTTCCTCCTCTATACAAAGGGAGAAAAAAAGGTCCCTACCACCAAAAAAAAAAACCAAATCCGTTTCCATCGAGTCCACTCTGACACATGGCGTCCCCACGTGTGTCAGAGTACAACTGTGCTCAGTAGGTTTTTCAAGGCCGCGACCTTTCAGAAGCAGGTCACCAGGCCTTTCTTCTGAGGCGCCTCTGGGTGAGTTTGAATCATCAACCTTTTGGTTAGCAGTTGAGGGCTTAACCATTTGCCCCTTCCTCCCGACACAAAAAATTGTTACCCACATAATGCATAGTCCACGTAAAGGTTCACATAGTGTCCGGCTGTTATGGAAGCTACTGTGGCTTTCAAGTACAATATATTTTCTAGAAAGATGAGGCTTAATCAGTGGCACATCAAGAAGATGACCAGGTTTCTAAATCCCAAGCTTTCACCATCATACAGTTCAATCATTCAGTAAGTAAGTACTGAATGACTCCTGTGTACTGCACGTGAGTGACACATCCTGACGTTCGGAAGTCAGTAGTAAGGAAGATTTAACTAGCTGGTAAGTGTTTAGCAGCTAAGAATCAAGAGCATTGTGAGTAGTGCAATAAAAGAGACAAGGTCAAAGTTGTGTGGGAACCAGAGGAAAGTGTGAGGAACATTTAGGACCAAGGCAGGAGGCACAGAGGAGATGACCTTGGGGCTGAGTCTCAAAGGTGACCCCTGAATTACATGGGATGGGGTGAGCAAGCACAATTTGAGTAGGACAAAGAACACATGCATCCAAAGCACAACTATTGGTCTCTATTCGCCTGGAGCTACAGCGGAAGGAGGACCGTCAGGAATAGGAGGAAGATACAGAATATGTGGCCAATTGCCTCCATGAACAACTGCCTCCTTTGCCATGAGACCAGAAGAACTAGATGATCCCCTAGATGAATCCCCAAAACTATTGCCCTGAGATAATCTTTAAACCTTAAACCAAAAATATCCCCTGAAGTCTTCTCCAAACCAAATAATAATTTAGCTTAACTAGGAAAGAATGTCTGCCTTGAGCATTGTGCTCTTTTCAGACCTACCTATATGGGATCAAATTGATAACAGCAACTCAAAAGATTAGAGAGGAACCTTAGCGGGCAGTGAATTTATGTTAATGGGGGAGGAACAACTCAGAAAAGGAGGATGAGAATGGTTGCACGACTTGCAAACTATAATCACTGTCACTAAATGGTACATTTAGAAACTTGAATTGGCGTATGTTTTGCTGTGTATATTCTCAACAACAAAACAAATTTTTTTTTAAAAGGTGGAAAAAAAGAACACATGCAACTGTGTAGCAGCACAGAGCATGAACTTGTTCTCTGTTTCTCCATTATTCCACCTGTAAAATGGGCACTAGACTATGAAAAAAACCTTATAAGCAATAGATAGATAGATATTGTCGAGCTGACTCTGACTCACGGCGACCCCATGTCCAACAGGATGAAATGTTGCTTAGTCCTCATCATTCTCACAATTACCAGCATGTCTGAGCCCATCGTTGCAGCCACTGTGTCAATCCATCTTACCAAGGGTTTCTTTCACCCTCACTGGCCTTCTACTTTACCAAACGTGATATCCTGCTCTAGCCATTGCTCCCTTCTGACGACAGGTACCCAGCAAGTCAATGTTCTACTGTGATCCACAAAGTTTTCATTGGCTAATTTTCAGAAGTAGGTCACCAAGCCCTTCTTCCAAGTCTGTCTTAGTCTGAAAGCTCCGCTGAAACCTGTCCACCATGGGTGACCCTGCTGGTATTTGAAATACGGATGGCACAGCTTCCAGCATCACAGCAACACACAAGCCACCACAGTATGACAAACTGACAGATAAGCGGTGGTTATAAGCATTAGCAGAGGAGGAAAAAAGATGTCCACTGTTGCATGGATATTATTATTATTACATATCAGGTCACGAACGTGTAAACATCTGTGCACATGAGTCTCTGGTGTCTTTCTGAATCGCAAAGCCCCTGAAGGAGAGCCCAGAGAACTTCATAAGGAGATGAGAACGGAAATGACAAAACCTAAAGTGCACTCCCACTCCCGGAGTTCCACATGAGGGGGCAGGTCTCAGGCTGCGTGGAACCTAAAGTAAAAGCAGTGTGAGGTTCTTCATGGTAGGGGGGTGGAGGAAGATCATGGAAGTGGCAGCCAACAGAAGAAGCCCCCAGGGCCCTGAGCTCAGGCAGATTCCTGGGCCTCCAGGATTCTCTGTTTTGCTGGCACTGAGGGATGATCCAGAAGGCTTGGAGAATGGGCTTATTTTGGAATCTATGACTGAGAGAGGAGTCCTGGTGGCACAGTGGTTAAATGCTGAGCTGCTAACAAGCGAAAGGTTGGTGGTTCGAACTCACCCCGCAGCTCTGCAGGAGAAAGACCAGGGCGCCTCCGTAAAGATTACAGCCTAAAAAACCCTATAGAGCAGTTCTACTCTGTCATGTGGGGCCACGATGAGTGAAAGTAGACTTGATGACACCAAACAACAACGATTGACTGAGAGAGCTCCCCTCTTGCTGGCCAAGGAGACGGTGGGAGGCCAGCCAGCCTGGGCTCAGCCCCCTGTGGGAATGAGCTCATCCAGGCTGCAACAGTGTCCATCCCCAGCTTCTCCCAGGGCAGAACAATGCTCCTGGGGCTATACACCAAAACCAGGGGCCCCAGAGCCACATTCAGTCCACAGCTGTGTCAAAGCAGAGCTGTACTCCACAGTGTTTTCAATGGCTAATTTTTCAGAAGTAGATCACCAGGTCTTTCTTCTGAGGTAACTCTGGGTAGACTCAAACTGCCAACCTTTAACTTAGCATCTGAGCTCACTGACAGTTTGTACCACCCAAGGACTCCAAGATTCCCACAATTAGAAAAAGACAGAGGGAACAAACTCTTCTTCGGGAACTCCTCATGAATCATTAACACCAAAGGGTTCGTCGCAGGAGCCGGCTCTGTCTAGGGGTTAAGCATCCGGGAATGTTTTGAGGGAGTTTCCCAAGCCATTGAAATCTAACGTATGATGAGAAAGTTCTGGAAATAAACAGTGGTGGTGGTTGCACAATACTGTGATTATAATTAATGCCAGTGAACTGTACACTTGGGTTGAATTTTTTTTTAATGCAAATGTCCAACAACAACCAAAAAATACGTATATGGGGGAAATCACTAACTAGATAGTAAACAAGCGTCAAGATTGGTGAAGAGAAAGACAACACACAATATAGGGAAGTCAGCACAACTTGACCAAGGCAGTCATAGAAGCTTTTTGGACACATTCAAACACCCTGCGGGACTGATTTACTGGGGCTGAGGGCTGGGGACCATGGTCTCAGGGGACATCCAGGTCAACTGGCATAACATGGTTCATAGAGAAAATGTTCTATATCCTACTTTGGTGAGTAGCATCTGGAGTCTTGAAAGCTTGCGAGCAGACATCCAAGATACATCTATTGGTTCCACCCTGTCCAGAGCAAAGGAGAATTAAAAAAACCAGAGACACAGAAAATATTAGTCCAAAGGACTAATGCACCACGTAAACGACAGCCTCCACCAGCCTGAGCCCAGAAGAACTAGATGTTGCCCAGCTACCACCAACAACCACTCTGGCAGGGATCACAATAGAGGGTCCCAGACAGAGCGGGAGAAAAATGTAGAACAAAATTAAAATTCACCAAAAAAAAAAAAAAAAAGCCCAGACTTACTGGTCTGACAGAGACTGGAGGAACCCCCAAGACTATGGCACGTGGACACCCTGCTAACTCAGAACTGAAGCCACTCCTGAAGTCCACCTTTCAGCCAAAGATTAGACAGGCCTATAAAACAAACAGTAACACATATGATTCTTAGCCAAATCAAGTCTACGAGACCAAATGGGCAAAACCTGCCCAAAAGCAAAGATGAGAAGACAGGAAGGGACAGGAAAACTAGACAAACGGACACGGAGAACCCAGGGTGGAAAGGCGGAGGGTGGTGACACTCTTTGGGGATTACAACCAATCTCACAAAACAACTTATGTAAAAATTTTTGAATGAGAAATTAATTTGTGCTGTAATCTTTTACCTAAAACACATTAAAAGAAAAACAATATTAAAAAGAAAAAAAGTACGTGTATGGTTACACAAATATGTACACAGACATGTCTGTATACGGGTATGCATATGTGGGTATGTGTATGTGCACAGATAGATGTATCTATAGGCATATGTTCATACAGGTATGTGTGTGTATGCATTATATTCACATATATAATAAACCACATACGGGACACAGTTACAGTTACCTCTTGGACATAACCAAACACCTCACAAGATTGGTTTTCTGGGTTTAAAGGCTTAGAACCATCGTCTTATGGGACAAGTCAGTTAACTGGCATAATATAGTTCACAAAGTATATTCTCTACACCCCAATGAGGTCAGTAGTGTCAGGGGTCTTAAAAGCTTCAGAGAGGTCATCTAAGATACAACTATTGGTCTCTGTTCATTTGGAACAAAAGACAAAGAAGGAAACCAAAGACTCAGAGAAGAAAGTAGTCTATAGAACTAACAATCTATATCTACCCTGAGACCAGAAGAACTAGATGGGGCCAGGCTACCACCACCGACCATTCTGATCAGGGCCACAGTAGATGGATCCTGACAGAATGGGAGAAAAATGTGGGAAAGAACTAAAATTCTTAAGTCCAGACTTACTGGACTGGTTGAGACTAGAGGACTCCCTGAGACTATCATCCTGAGATACTCTTTAAACCTTAAACTGAAATTATCCCTTGAGGTTA